AGGGTTTTAAATGGCAGACGGGAAAATTTAAAAGGCCGTGGTGGCCGCAAGGTCGGCAATTTGCGTTGGTTCCGTCTTTTAATTGAAAGGTCGAAACGCGTTATTGCTTTTTCCGCCAACCCCATTTATATCGGTTCATCTCTCTCGCTGGCAGAAACACGCGAACGCCTGGCCAAGACGCTCGTAACGCCACTAAGAATCCATCTATCCAAATAAATTAATCCATCCGTCCAAATAAATTAAATGCGAGAATGATAGAATTCGAATGGAAGTTTTGCGCGAAGAAGGAAAGAAGGAAAAAGGGAAGAAAAATTTCTCTCTGTTATTTCGATGAAGTTTCGATAGTATTTATCACGTTAGAATTTTTCGATTTGTCTTGCGTGATTATTTTTTTTTTTTTTTTTTTGGATATTTTTAGAATAATTAAAAGAAAATGCGTAAACGCGATAAATGTGAATTGTGGTTTTGGAAATTCTCAATCGATTACTAAGTAAAATTTTGGCTAGATCTTAATTCCTCGAGAAGAAAAATTCTAACACCTTATAAGAGAGGCGGTTGAGCTAAGAAAAAACAGACCGTAAGAATTGTCAGGGAGAGAGCCATCCCCAATTCCTCTGCATAATTTTCGATTAGCGTCTCGTCCCGGGAAACTACAAACATTAAACTTTTCCTCTTACGAGAACCTGTCGATCGCCTTGCGGCCTCAAGAAGCTTCCAAGTCGTGCAAGAAAAATTGTCTTTCTCCGAAGGAAATTCACGTGGGAAAGCTCGATGGTTGTACGGCACGTAGGCTAGTAGTCTTTGCACGTTCAGGAATAAGAAACTTTTCATGACCTCGTGAAACTTCGTTCATCCTGACAAGCCTACGTTTTTTTTTTTCCCTTCCTTTCCTCCTGCCTTACTTTTCCTTACGTAAGAGAAGAAGTGCTTAAAGATTTCATTTCTAAGGCCTGTCGTTGACCGTGGCAAAGCTGGACGAGTATGGTTAAGCACAGAAATGAAAAGATGGATTTGAGATGAAAGGAAAAAATGGTTTTTAAAAATACCTTGTTGAGAAACGTTCCAATAAAAATGACAATTGATACAATATTTTTAAAAATTTTGCCATCCTATCATTTCAATATTGATTTGTCCCGTTGAATTGGTAAACTATTTATAATAAATTCTTATTGAGGATCATTTGTATCACTCCATTATTCGATTTGCATCGAAGCTTATTGAATTTAGTATTTTGCTTACACTCCTATTTGTGTACAAATGTTATCCGAATTATCGACGTTCCATTTTATGTTCATGCAAATTTAACATTCATTTCGCATTATATAACTGTTAAAATCTCTATGCGCGTTGTAATTTAGTTACACCGTTCCTCACAGTTCGACGTATCGATGCTACTACCGTTTTGCGAACAATTTACATTCGCCAATTATTATTATCTACTGTATTTTTCAATCCTGAAAAAACGATATTGAATCACGAAGATAATTCTTGCGCGTTGTATTTGACCATTCTTTCTCTAAAATATTTCAAATTCATGAAATTTGTGAACATTTTCCACTAAAATTGTGATTTATATTTACTTTGGAGATCTCGACCATGCTTTGAAATTTATTTTCCTAAGGAAATATATAAATCAATCTTCTCGAGAAAGTTTATGAAAGTTTACCGATTTCCTTCCATGCGGAAAATCCTATTTCTCTAAAGCTAATTTATGCAGTCCCAATCTTGATAAAGGTGTTCCCAGCTTGGCTCATCGGCCGTTTATCCTTCGTTTCGAGAGGAATCCCGCTGTTATGCTTTATTTTTACACTTGACAGAATTGTTTGCGCAAGACTTGCGCACGAGAACGATCATCGTCGATTTTTTCAACCCTGAATTTTGCATGAAAATGGCTTGAATACGATATGAAAGGAAAATAAAGAGAGGCTTTCGAGTTTGCTCTCGATTGAAAAAAAACCGAAGTGAAATCGTTGCTTTTTACTGATTACACTTGCACTATTCAAAATCCTCGATTGAGAAATATAAATCGTATTTGAAATCGATGATGATTTAATTGAAAAATCGAGATGAAGAGAAAATATTTGATTTAAATCGTCAATTTCTTGTAGATCGCTTATTTAATCAAAAAAATTATTTTTAAAAAATTTTTTAATCCCTTATTAAATATATATATTTCTTTCTCCTTAATATCTTTCTCGATCTTCTTGAAATCTCACGATTCTTTCAAAATCGATTCTCTAAGAGATAATCTATAAGATTTACGAGAAACGATGTTTCAAAAAATATAACGATCCTCTTGCTAATCGATATATATATATTTCTTTTTTTAACGACACTCGGAGGATTTGGAATCGTAGTCGCGAACTTTTCCACGATAAATCAGTTGGAATTCCAGGGCGGCTTTGTGTGAATCACAATGTGCGAGGGTCGTGCTCGCCACTCCTCTTCCAGGTCGATTAATAATTTATCGTCGACTGTAAATTTTGGTCAGCGTAAAATTAATAATACAGCATTTTATACGTAGCCACAGACGAAATCATATTTCTTGCAAATGCTTTTGCAATCATTTATTTTGGTGGGAATGGAGGTTAGCTCGCCATTTCCAACGAATTTTCCAATACGTTCGACGTTGATGCACATAACCTAGCAATTACATTCGATTTCCACTTCCGTAATTAAAAAATAGTTTTTGTATATGTATATACAAATACATACGAAGGAGTGGCACATAATTTCAATAGTCTCGTGGTAAATGCATAGAAAAAAAAAAAAAAAAAAAAAAAAAAAAATAGGGAGCTTTGGAATTTGAGAGAGTGTATATTGATAGGCGTAAACGATTTCGAAAGTTCTAAAAGCTGCTCAAAAAAGGATGCTAGCTAAGATACAAGTGAATAACTGTTCAAAGTAAATAACACAAGCGAATTGAGACGGAAAAATAGCGACTTTATTTCTTTCTTTATTCTTTCTTTTTAATTATTTCTTCTTTGACTATAAGGAATAAACTCGATTCGATGAACATGTGTACGGGAAACTCGTATGTATCTATATACAAGTGTAATGTCACTGTAATATTACTTAAGGTATAGTTATCGTTGTTATGTGCACGGATACAGGAGAGAGAGAGAGAGAGAGAGAGAGAGTGTCGTCTCTATTAGAGCAATGAAAATTTTTCAAAGATATATAGTATATTCAACAGAAAATAAAAGAAAAACAAATAATGAAAAGTTTCATAAATTATATAAAATTAAAGGAAAATAATAATAGTTTTATTCTGTGTAATAATTATATATGATTATAATTATTGTCCCTGCAATAAATTATAACATAGATTAGTGATCCTCAGCGGATTAATTGATTCTCGTGACGTAGTTTGGATGCTAAAACTATTATATTTGTACATATTTGCGTATATTTGTGTACATATTCGTTTAATTATGATGTTGAATTATACGTATTGATTAACTACATATTATTTCTTTGATATTGCGAATAAAATTAAATAGGATATTATATTAATTTTACAATTCGTTGTAAATTTAATAAATAGAGACAATCAAAATATTGTTTCGAATAAAATTAAATATTATAATGATTCAGGAATTTAATCTAAATTTAATAGATTAATGAAAAAGTTAAAAAAAAAAATTAATGTTAATTTTTTGAGATATGAAAATTATTTCATAGAAGAAAATCAATGTAAATATTCGCTGTATATAAACTTTTACTTGCTTACAAAAACTGTTCCGGCAAAGATTGTACTAAGAGAACTTCAATGGAATCAAACAATAATCGATTTTTCGATATTGTTACGTACTTGCATTGTTATATTTATCTATCGAGGCAAAAGATATCGACAGTTCGAAGTTTGTGATGTACAAAAGAGAAGAATATAGGGAATACAAAGTTTCGTACACTATAACTAATTGCTCTGACAAGACAATATTTCGTGAACAATGAATCTTGAAAATTAAAACATTAAAGATTATTTATAGATTCCCGATTAAGCAGAAAAACATGGAAATCGATAAAATTCCAACGGTATAATAAAAGAAATCGAAGTGCAAATTTTTCTTAAGCGATTATTTTATACTTATACATAAATTTTTACACAAAATCGATTCGTTTCTATTATATATTTATCAATTCGCTGCATTAATATTATCAATATAAAAAAGAAACCCATTAATTTTTATTCTAAAAATGACAAACGATAGAAACAAGAACACAGAAATAAATTTAATTTCAACTCGAAATAAACGAGGACCGTTCAGACTCGACTATTTTACCATCTCACGAGGCCACAGGGCCGGGAATCCACGGTACATAGTGCTCATACCACACGTCTCAAATAAATTCCAATCCCACCGAGTAATTTGATACGATTTTATTCCGGAAGCTAGCTATGAAAAGGAACGAAGATGCAACTCCCTCCCCACAGACGACCTTCCCCCATTCGTGTATCCGTGCACGCTGCAATCACCGTTGTAAAAGTATAGCAGTAAATGTATATAATCGTGTCGGCGCAGATACATGTCGAAACGTGTCCCTCGTTCAAAGGTGCGTGAACGAAAGGCGAGAGAGCACAGTCCAAGATACTGTAAGGGCACAGAGAAGAGGGGGTCGGAGGGGGTGAAAAATCTAACAGAAACAGGGTGAATATTGCGAGCAGAGGCGAGAGAGATCTGCGGTGAGACACACGAGGCGGTGCAGAACACGAGTTTTCTGTGCTCCCCTACACACCAAATCGTTACTGTGTGTTCTTTTCTTTTTTTTTTTCGGCTGTCTTTTCTATTTTCTTTAACTCTTCTTCGAGAGTTCTTTCTGCCCTTGTTCTTTCAATTTTTTTTTTAGTGAACCTGAAAGTAAATGATTAGTACATCACCTCCTGAAACGAAATAGCAATTATCCTCGTGACAGAGAGAAGAAAATAATTTTTGAGAAAAAAGAAAGGATATTTTTCCTCTCTTCTTCGCTCTATTCGGATGTAATTCGAAACGAAAGAACCCGCGACGTTTCGTTTCAGAAGGTTTTCGGGACACAAATACACAACACACAAGAGTGGACCAAAGATTGGATCAAAGAAAAAGAAAAAAAAAAAAAAAGAAACGATCGCGGACAAATAAGCGTAATATCGTGGAGGAGCCTACGAATACTCCTTTGATCCAATGTCCGATCCTGAGGGAGGATCTGGTGCAGACAGTAGGCGAGACGTGCCGAGGATCATTGCTGAAGAACAATCGATATATCGCGTGTGATGACAGCTGTCTCGTGAACATTCCATTTGCTGTCCTGTGTAAAACGTTTTGTGTATATGGGTATAATATACACGATTATATAAACACATCCATATATACACACGATGATATCGTACATGACGTGCGTTACGATCACCTGTGTGACAGTTTTTGGGGAGAGAGTAGGGTGATGACGATTCGGCCGTTGATTTGTATCGGTGGGACACGCTGGATGAGCGATCGTGTGACAATCTACCCACGAAAACTGGAAATGGAACTGGACCAACGTTCTTTGTTTTACAGAGTGGTAGGAAAAAAAAAAAATAATAAATAAATAAAACTTCCGATTCAGAATTTTGAGAATCGATGGTACTTGACAAATGAAATGGAGAGAATTGTTTAACAAATGCGAATAATTGAAAAAATAATATTTTTAAAAAATTAAATATATAATAAAGCGGAAAGCAACCGATAGGATGATACGGAAATAGAATTCCACGCGTCCTTTTATGTTCCTTTTCGGTCGAAGACCGTGCCTCACGATGATCCATTTCCAATACCAGCAAAAGTGAATGAACGCATTAATGAAATACGGTACAATTTAATATTACTCGGATACTCGACGCATCGATCACTGAGAATGAACGAGGCGAATGCACGGGGAATTTCAGCAAGCTTATGCTCGATAGGCTATCTATGAGTATTGTATCTCGCAAAGTATCCTCGATAATCCGTTTAATACGTAACTTATTATTCTTTGTTTATCCACATATATATATATATTATGAATTAAATCTCCGATGTGAATAGATTATATCGCGATATAAACATTACGATAAGAATGGAATAAGAAAAAAAAAAAAGAAAAATTACAAGTATACAGAGTTAACATTTATTTCTCTCTGATATAGTGGAACGTGAAAAAGGTGATTAAAGTAATTTCATTATTACAACTCTCTGAGAAGTTGGCGGTATTACGATGGAAACGAGTGTTTAAAATGAAACGTCAATTATCGCTTTAGCAGTCGGATCTTTTGGGCTCGTTGGTGCGCGACAAGTTCCGTCTAATTTAAATTCAAAAGGCTATGGAACAAGGTTTTGTTCAACCGGATCCAAGAAGAAAATCAAAGCAAAAACTTCGTTCTAATGTAATTACAATGGCCGGGTAATTAAGGGCCGCGGAATTCATTTAGTGACCTTTTGGTATTTATAAATGAAGCTAATTCAACTTGGCTTTTAATGTTGAAACAAAGAATGACGAGATCCAAGTGGATCATGGCCGAGTGAGGAGAAATACGAAATCAGAGTTAATACTGGTTAATTTGCATTTCATTTTTGAAACTGACGCGAGATTTATTTTGTGGATACGGATAAATCCAATTTTGTTGATGATTTTCCGTCGTTCGATAAAGTGCTCGGAAGAGATATCAGTGTAGAAAAGATGACAAGTTTAACCATAGATGTGTAACTCGAAGGAATAAATCCAGTTTTAAAATTTCTTCGTAAAAATTAATCAAATTTAAACGTTAAAGAATGAATATACTATACAATAATACAGTTGCAATAGAATTTGAAAAACTGCAGCATAAAATATGTAACATTTTTTTTTGGAATTATTATTTGTTTTGCTTTGCAAACCCAATTTCATAAATTGTAAATACATTCATAAGTATTCGAATATTTTAATCGATTTACAATAACAATATATCATTAAAACGTATAACTGATAAACTGATATATTCATTGAAAATTGTGACAATCGTGCATTTTTATTCGTCAATTCCAAACGTCATTCCGTTGTTCCTGTCGAAAATCGAATTAAACAGAGATCTCATATTTATACGAAACCTGTCAAACCTTCTCCACTCCTAAATCCATAATATTATGAAATATATACATCGATTAAACAAACAAGCATTTCTCAGCTCCTATTTTGTGTCCAAAATATTAATTTCCTTAATCTACGTTCAAGAATCAAGAAACGGAATTCAACACCAAGTATAAATAAATATACTTTTACGAATACTTTTCAACAAAGCAATAACGAAGCAATAATCTAACCATACATTCTCCGTAATACGTCGTTTGACTTTGACAAGATTAATTTTAGTTTAATAAAGATGAGTTGCAATCAAAGATCAAAAGACGAAGAGCGCGTCTGACGAAAACAGCGTGCAATAATTCTGTCGAGAATGGAATCCAGAGATCAAGAGCGCGAACCTGGGATTTAGAGGTGTTCCCGTGGGAGGATAAGGAATGCGGATGTTGCCTCGTCTTTGTTATTAACTCGTTTTTACAGTGTACACGCGGCGTGACACGAGACTGTAATCCGATTTAACAAGAAAGTACAAAGGTATACACGATCTCTCGCCGAGTGAAGTGTATTCACTGTCGGTGAAATAGAAAGCGAAAGAAAGGAGGGGAATGGAGGGATTACGAATAAACTGTTAAACGAGATATCAATATCTAGTGATTTGGAAAGTAAGCGAGAAAAGTATTGCAAAAGGAATGATGAGATTAAACTGATAAGCCTCTTCGAGAAAAATATATATATATGAATCTAAGATTTGAAAGATTAGAATTGTGCCTTTTCTTTGAACAACATTTCTGATTGAATTTCTGATATCATCTGAAGATTGGACAGTGGATATTATATCATATTTAAATCTAAGAGATTAAAAGAATTAGATTTCACATTTATTATCTTTAAAAAAACATTACTGCGAGAATAGTAATAAGATAATAAATCTATTAGAAAAATTCAAGGATATTTCAAAATTGGAAGAGCTAGATTCGATTTAAGTCTCCCTACACTGATGGATGGCTTATACCACATAAAGTTCTGCTGTCATTGCTACGAATTATAAATTGTTCATATCTTATTGAATCTAAAGTTAGCGTCACTGTCTTGTGACAAACGTGAAGCAGTGAAAAATTTTGCTACAAACTTGAAAAGAAAAAAAAAAAATGCTAAAAATTTAAACAACATTCGTATTTCATTTCATTCGCGTCAAAAGATAACTTCACTCGATTCGGTCGCACAATCGTTGGTCGCATTTTCGCGCGTTCCTCCATGATTCACGAACCGAGTGACATAATAATAAAAGCTGAGATTAGAATCGTTACGATACGACGGCGCGACGTCACGGTGCTTTGGATAGAATCTTTACGAGCTTCGTAAACCACGAAGCTCTTTTATCCCATTTCCGCTCGTGATTCTTCGCGCGGATCGTTGGCTTATCTTGTAAACAGGTCTTGATGCTCTCGTCGTCGTCGCAAATTGATAGCGCCAGTTCGATATCTGTGAACGTTTTAGGGATATATAGAAGGGAATTTCGATTGGAATTGTTAGAAGAATCGTTATCGTCGAGGGCTGGTTCGAAGCGAATTTGCGAAATTTGCACACGAATGAGTGGATTTTCTACCAATCTAGAGCGCGAAGTCGTTGACATTGATGCAGGAATAATGGAGATATTGGATATTGATCGGATGATTTCATTTTTCGGAAGATAAAATGATCGTATAAAATATTGAAATAGTTATATAACACATTCTAAGAAAATCTATTCTTTATGCTATAAGGAAATCCATTCTATCGAAAACGAACTTTTCAAATATTCAAAAGTTTATTTAATTTGAAATTGTTTGACTTCGAAGATATTCGATTTTCCCTTTCTACAAGAAAGGAAGAGCTTTACTTTGTAAAGATCAATTTCCCAACTTCTATATTGTAACTCTTAGAACTCTGTTTTCTACAAAGTAAGCAGAAAGATTTTCCAAGAAGAAAGAAGTTGATTTTCTCGAATTGAAGTGAATTTAAAAAATAATTAATCTCACAGCTGAGATTACTATTACGCTTTTTTTTTTTTTTGATCGAAAAAACTTGTTCGACGTGCAAATTATTCGAAATATATAACGATTGTTATCGTAATCGAATAACAAAAACGTGGTACTTTGATAAATTGACTTTGAAAATTTGACAAAGTATTTTAAAGTACGTATATAAAATTAAACGAAGTCACTTTTAGAAAAATATTTTCAAGTTTGGTTTCATCGAACAATAAAATAACTATACGTATAATAACCATATATTTAAATATATATTGCTGATAATCAAAACGTGCACGCGATATAAAACTATTTCGAAGTGAATATATGTTCCATTTATCGAATCCATTTATCTAAAAGCATCTTCGATTAAACTAAAAATGTATCGTATATGAGAATATGGCAAAATTAATTTGATCGAACGATGGCTGGCTATAATGTACAAGAACACGTGTCAATTATGTTAAAAGTATTTCAATGTTAGGATTATTGAGAAAAATTTCGACATACGAGATAACGAAGTATTACATAATATTGAATCGTTCGAAAACATCATGAAAATAGCTCATCAAATTTTTTTATTACTTGCAAGATTTTCCCCAAAGTTGTAAACATTGTTGTAAGATAAAAATTTGGATTAATTATAAAGAAACGATAATTAAAAAGAAAAATAAAATAAATATTTTCGAATAACTTTTCAAATGTTTTAAAATTTTATATAATTGAATATAAAAAAAAATTCGTCTCTACATAATGTTTATTTTAACATGTTTTTTTTTTTAAATATGCAATCAGACTCCAGAGTCCATTTTTCCCTTTAACAAGTAAAAGTACTGAAATAAATTGAATTTATCTTCTTAAATCGAGTTAAGCTAATTTTTCTTTGACCCGGATCCAAGAATTTCTCTCGAACTATCCCAACAGCAAGGAACACGAATCTGTGCAACGACACAGAACAAAAATCATAACAAAGTTTCCGAACGCAAATAATCTCATAATTTAATTTCGTGTCTTGGAAAGATTTGATACCGTGGTTACGAGAATAGTAAGAAAATTCATTGGGACGAATAAACTTCATTTATAAATATATATCGGAATTTTAAGCGATATCGCGATCAAAGAACAATAATTTCTTAAAATACCAAATTACAGCGTTATAATTACAGCGCTCTAAACGCAAGAAACTTGTGAACTCTCTAGAGGAATTTTACACCGACACATTTATTAAAACGGAGCAAGCTTAAAACAGCAAGCTAAAAAATTTTATACAAATTTATTCTCGTTAAATCCTATTAAAATAAGGAAAAATTCAAAACCCTTATAATTTTGAAGATAGTGACTTTCGAATCACAAGTGAATAATCATTAGAATCTTGTTCTTTAATAAAATACTTTCTCTCACATTGTTCGATATGACTTCCATTTTTCGAGATATCGTCGTGTAAAGATTTACTATCTCCTCCTATGTGGATCTGTCATTTCTATTCCGTTTCACTGATCTATGCCAAACTCCACACAAGAGATAAATTCCTGGAAGAACGTAATACATTTCCAAGAAAAAAATATTTATCACGAGACCTAATCTTTGCACAATCTCAAGTAATCCTTATATCCAAGTCAATCGATTGAAATGACTTCAACGACGTGAAATCTTCTCCTGAATGAATTTAGACGAAAAAATCTTTAATTTGTTCTCACATACGAAATACCTAGAGATTCGTAATTCGACACATAATTTTACATGTTACACGCATATTATATTTTCGAATTATCGAGAAAATTACTTTCCGAAATGGCGTGAATTGGATGAAATTCACGAGCGTAGTAAAATCTAATCGAAGGCGTTCCGTTTTCATCAGTGACATTTATTGTGAATTCCGAGTGCGTGATGCATTAGGAAAGCATTAGTATTCGCGAGTTCCGATGTGTTCGTATATGGCGAACGTGATATGGCGCGTGGCGCACGATGCGCCAGTGCAATGTCAAAGGATCTCGGTGGCTCTATAGATACGATGTCATACAACGCGAATATGTAATCACTGCCAGTTGCGACGGTTGTGTACATATATTTTGACACGTGTTACGTAGCCACGAAAGCCACATCACTCAAACCGAATGGGGTAATCGTTATTGCGCGAAATTTGATGGACTGTTACTCCGAAATCCTAACTCGCAACGCGCCTCTGGACCTCGAACATTTGTCATGGGAATTCTTGTTCCAAACGGGAGGATTCCATCTTTCAATCCCGCCACTATGGATCGATATTTGTCCTCTTACGTTCTCTATGGACAAATAGACTTTCTTTTCGATATATCGTATATTTATATACATATAATAAGATTTTTAACACGATTGAATTGTGAAGTCGTCGAGCATTATAGCAACTGTATATACTCGTATGCAACTCTGAATGAAACTATAATTAAGTAACGAGTGATTCGAGTAATAATTGAAAT